GCTGCATAAATACCCCCGGATAGGCAGATGTTGTTGTCTGATGGTGTTAAAGGTATTGTTGCAGGATGGAAGCTGTTCCAAATAAACTTTCCTTTTGCGGTTGATTGATGCAGGTTTTGTCAATGCCAATGCTGGTGCTGCTGGTGGTGTTACTATTATTGTTACACTTATTTTATCCCATCTTTTTTTAATATATGCAACTCATGGCAGTTAACATGCCTAATACTCCTGCCTCCTATTTTCCTCACAACTACCCTGTGCTCTTGAAATGTCAGAAATCTTAGGTTGTTGCCAATTCTGGCTCCCATCACATTAGCTACAGATTATTGGTTCTTCCATCATACACCAGCAACTTTCTCAAGGAATTATATAATTTCCATCAGTTATATCATGATGTCGTCATGAAAATCTGTTTGATTTATAACTCATCTTTCTAATTCAGTTCATTTGTGTGATAATGTCATGATACTTAGGATGTCATTTGTCCTCTCTGCAGATACCCATGCGTCAAATGCACTGAATTACAACTTTGTCATTTGCAACCACTGTAACTAGTGTAGTACATCTATAGTCTGTACTCAGTTCTTATTTCAGAAAGCTTCTTCTATATCCAAAATGTATTATAGTAATATTACTAGTAGTAGCCATGCTGCAAATGCTATTTTCTGCTTAAGATCCTAAACTATTTTCCTGTCTTTCTTTGAAATCCAAAAATTCAAAATAAAACTAAACCAACCAACCAACCAAGGAGACAATGTGCAGCAGGTAAAACTAGCAAGGAGAAAGCAGCTACATAAACAAGATTAATAAAGTCTAAATAAATATCAGAGAGAATCAATGACTCCATTGATGGAAATTACAGAATTAATGGCTAAACTCAAACCAGTAACCCTTCCCTCCCCTAGGACAGTCAGCAGAAAGTTCCTTCAGATGTTATTGAACTACAGCTCCCAACATCCCACTCCAATTGCCAGGCTAACAAGGGCTGCTGGAAGGCATAGTGAAACAAATCCTGGATTACTATATGGCCCTATCCCAAGACTGCCAAAAAAATGTAAAAACCCTTCAGATTGCAGGTAAAAACCAATAATGAAGGGGCAAAAGTGAGCATGTTAGTCAGGGTTTCCTAAACCTGATTAAGGCAAGCATCACTCTGAGACATATAGAGATCTTCAGTTAGAAGATCTGCAGGAGGCTGATATGAAAGAAATTATTTATTTATTGGTTCAATGTACATCTTGTCTTTCTACCCATAAGAGTCTCAAATCAAAATACAAAGCAATTTTAAAAGGCAAGAAGTTATGTGAAATCCAAAAAGTCTGGCTGAAGAAGAAAGTCTAACTCATTTCCTGAAGGCAGAAAGAGTGAGGGGTAAACCCTACTCCAGAGCGAGTACATTCCTTAGCTTGTAAGCCATGCAGGAAAGAGATCCTGCAAGCCCAAACTGAATTCAATTCATTGATGGAATAAAAACACTTTTTTTTATGCACATGTACTGTACATACTATCTAAATAGAAGCAACTGACCAGGTTTTATGATCATTGATGTGACACATCCTTTCTTTTTCTTTTTTCTGTTTTTCAGCTGGGCTGCTGGAATCCTGTCACTGGTCTCAATGGGTCACTAACAGACAGAAGGCTGGAAAATAACATGCGGGGAGTAGTTCTTCGTGTAGTGACTGTGTTGGTAAGCAGAATTAGATTTTTAAAAAAAAAACATTTGTAGGTATAGATCTATTGGGGCTGTATAAATCATCAGTTTAGAAATTGTGTGGTGATTTCATTAAATCTCCAAACTGAATCAGCTTTCTGAAACGAAATGAGGATGTGGACTGGACCTATCAAATCAGATTGGATGTTTCTGAATCAGTTTGCTTATTTAGAATGATTGAAATAGGATTCATGAAAATCAGCACACCCTTCTCTCCTCAAACTACTTTTGCTGGGGTCCCCACAAATAGTTTGTTGAATAAGAATGTCTAAAAAGGCCTGTGAAGAAGATAGATAAAACAAAACAGAACTATGATCAAATTTATGTAACCTTCATACTAAGTATTAATCCATTGGTCTTAACATTTATCCATCTTGGGTCAATGGGAATTTGCTGCCACCACCATCGCCAAATATTTGTTTCACCATGGGACGCAAATGCATTGTTCCACTGTGCTAAACTATGTGGACTGTGCACATTAATTCAAAGAGGAAAAACAGAGTGGGCCCAAGAACAAAAGCTCTAAATGATGCATTAAAGGCAGTCATTCACCAATTATGGTAGTAAAGAGATTGCAGTTTCATACAAATTACTGTACTCAAAAAATATTAAAGTTCTTCCTACACTGAATTAGACTAGTTTAGCTCATCTTTTGTAGCCTTTTTCAACACATTTCCTTTTTATCTTCTACCTATTTTTTCTCACATCCTGGTTACCAACAAGGCTTCTAAAATTCACTACTAATAATAGAATAATAGTTGTAATGTTTATCCAGTACTGTACCCCAAGAAAAAATGAGATAGATTCTGCCCATGGTATATAGTTAAAACAGGTCATCCCAACCTTTGTGGGCACATGGGAAATTTTAAATAATAGAAGCTAATTTGTGAAAGGTTTCCATTTAGAATACTGGAGAACATGACTAAGAATAGAGTAATAGATTCACAGCTCCAGATGCCTGTTGACAATATTGTTGATCTGGACCCATTTCAATTAGGTTTGTGGCTGGGATATGGTTCTCAGATTGCTTTATTTGCCTTGATCAGTGCTAAAAACATCTTGCAGCTTCTTCCCAAAACATGGGATGGTCCCATTTAGATAGATGTACAGTATACTGTATATGTCCTTTGTTAAATCAACAAAGTGATTACAGCCCTGATGGTTCTCCTGGACTGTTGATAGCCTTCTCTACCATTGATTATAGTATCCTTCTGAATAATATGGCCAGATTGGGCCTTTGTGCTGGATGAGGTGATTAAGCTTAAATTATATTCAGACAATTGGATGTGGAAATGGATGTTTGGCCTGTTTTGTATGGATTTATTTCTTCACCTGTCACTGGTTTTGCAGATGGGAAACACTATGGCAAAGAACATGTTTTCTATCATCTATCTATCTATCTATCTATCTATCTATCTATCTATCTATCTATCTATCTATCTATCATCTATAGTATATGGCCACCTATCTGTCCAGTGAAACACTGGATGATGAACAGAGTAAAAACATAATCAAACTATAAAACTCAAACAGAAACCAAGTCAAGACTCCCCCAATAAAAATCTCAGAATACATATGCCACATGTACATCCCAGAACACTATCATCTTGTTCCCAGTGCCTTGGGGAAGAGCCAGCTCTTCACAGCCTTCTGAAAGGCCAGTAGGCTCAAAGCTGTCCATATCTCTGGGGGTAGGTGGGACAATCTGGTAGGACAAGAAGGGCACTTCCTAGGACCCACCAGGTGACACTGTTAGGACCCAGTGCATGCACACTCTGCCAGATCTGGTGGGATCAGCAGAAACCATCAGGGATAGGCAGCCCCACAAGTACTTTAGCAGAAGAACAGCCAATCATATAATTAAGGCTAGTGAACGGGCTACAACCATTCCTAAATTAATACTGTTTGATGCATAGAGAACCATTTCTACATCCTATGTTAGAGCATGCTTTATGTGGGTCTAGTCTTGGAAAATATTTTTATCTTTAGATTTAAAGAAAAAATGTTAGCCTTTGAATGCTCATCTAAGCAAAAGAAACAACAACAATATCCTGATGAGTGGAGGTTCTGTCCCTTTCTGTTCATCTTGTGTCACCACAGAGTATGTTTAGTGTTGAACTTTGTGGTGGATTTGTTTTTCCCTGCTTGCACATCCACAAATTAAAATCCAACAATTTGTGGCCTTCTTGGCATTTTGAGGGTGATGGGGGTTTTAAAGGGCAACAAGATATCTTAAATCTTGCATATCCTTGATGTACCCAATTCAGCCCTAAAAGCATCTTGCAGCTTCTTCCCAAAACATGGGATGGTCCCATTTAGATAGATATACAGTATACTGTATGTGTCCTGGTTTTTTCCATCTGTGAAAATGCTCAAACTAAGAAATTCTTTTCAAAAATGGAGTTGGACATGTCATACTACACTGCCTCTATGTCCAGCCTTAGCATGTTGAATGAAGAGGCCTGAAGGGAGAATCTTCACATGTTCAGTTTAGCACCCCTAGAATTTCCCCTTAATTAGATGCCATAACCCTATGAAACTGAAGATTTAAATATTCCTCTTCCAAATACTCTTTTTCGGGGTAAAAATCAGAGTCAAATCAGTGGCACAGGGACATTTGAGAGGAGCTGGCATATTGTCTAACCAAGAATTAACTTTATAAGGTCCTATGTCCTCAGTTATACATTCAATAGAACAAGTACATCAAAATTAACACCTGAGAAAAGCTAGGGAGCAGACTAAATGTTGAAACTTAATATAATAAATTTCAAATGTTTGGAGTCCAGGCCAAAAAAACTGTGAGCTAACGTGAAATCTTTCAGGTGACATCACTGTAGCCTAGTATTGGATATTAGAAAGATGCTGACATCTGTCTTCAACAACATCTGTAGAACCATAAGTTGCCCATGTCTGCATTCTGTCCTTCAATGACATCTAGTTGTACAGGTTAAACATACATTTTCTTTTCTAGTAAAATAAATTGGAATAACACCAAAATGCCAAAGTGACATGTGTAACTTTCTGTGTCAAAACTAATTTGATGTTCATCCAAGTAATATCACAACAGAATAAATAAGGTCTTTGTACTTTGAATTTAGTATAATATACCTGCAATGAGTACACTCAGTGAATGCTTCCTCTTAAAGGAAATTCAAATCCCCCATCAGTTTTATAATTTCATTACCCTTTTATCATTTCAGTCAATTTGCCGGGTTGTGTTCTTTTGGCAACCAATTATGCTATAATTTTTTAGTGACTTGGATATACTTGTATGCAAAGGAAGATGTACTGTATTACCACTCATGCAGGCGAAGGCTGATAAGATCCAAAAGAGAGAGACCAAAAGGGTAAATTGAAAGTTCAGAATCCCACATTCAACAGATTAGATCCTCCAGTGCAGTCCCCTTATACTTCTCAGGAAGAGTCTTTCAGAGGCCATGGGTAAACTATTAGAAGTGTCTCAGGCCTTAACAACACTGATAGATCTGTGACCCAGTTTGAAACAGCTGGGTCTTCTCATCCATATCAGAAGGAGAAAGCAAAACCTTGCCATGTCTTGAGAAATGCAAGGAGTTGAAGCTTCAGGCCACATTTCTAAGGGACAGATCTTTCCATGAATAAGAGTGTGTTCAGGAGCAGTATATACAAGACAGAGTTTCTTTGGAAAGACAAGGGTTGAATGACCTTGTGTACCAATTATCCCCACTTCCTCAACACCTCCTAGGCTCCCTGTCCCACTGTTTTTAAAAACATTTTAATTTGAAAAATTAGTAGGAATCCAACATTCTCCAGTGCTAAGCATGAGATGTAGCATGACACTAATTACAGTATACCTTTGACCCCCCCCCCAAAAAAAGATTCCACTGAGATGATAGATAGCAACCTTGTAAAAGGATGTTTTGTAATTGTCTCATGCCCATCACGGCATATCTTTTGTATAAAGACCAGCCTGCCGTGATCATCATCTTGTGAACGTGCCCATTGCATGCTTTCTGAATTTTAAATTTTATCCAAAATGCTACCTATCCCTAGCTTAATGGCTGACACTTGATATGTGGTTGGACCAAATGACTCGTTGATTCTCTGGTCTGGGCTAATTCCAAAATCTGCTTTTGGAGTCAACACTGTTTAATCTCTGTAACACTTTTCTCACATCATGTGAGAATTAGCCTGACTTCATACTTTGCAGCACATTATTGGATAACTATATCACTGATTTGGTTATTGGTTTGCTTGCGCAATAGTTTAGCAACATTTTGAAATGATGTGTGTATACACAGAGAATCCGCAGACTGCGTTCAGTACCATTATTTATAAGACAATGAAAACACATTTCAGTTTATTGAAAATATATGTAAAATATGTATTTATGCCCATTCTGTTGCCCAGATTTATTCATTCATTCATTCATTCATTCATTCATTCATTCATTCATTCATTCATTCATTTTTAATGATTGGGTATTCATCCAGATAACAGTATTCTGCTGATAAGTCTAAAGCATCTGAAAGGTGAGGGTAGAAGAAACATTTCAGGAAACTGAAGGACTGACTTTAGCACAAAACTGCAGTTAAGAAAAAGGGACAACTGAAAATAACAAATGAGAATCTTCTCATTGCCTTGTGTGTCCACAAATTTAAACTGACTATCATGGAAGTATTGCTTTAATGACATAACAGTTTTAGGACAGGGAAGGAGGGAGATCTTCCTTCCCCTGTCACCTTCTCCACCTTGACAAAGATGGTAAAAGGTAAACGCTGCTTTGAGTTGAACTTATTTGGTGTCCATATTAACATATCCATGTATTTTCTTGGCATCTGCCTAGAAGTGATATACCATTGCCTTCTTGGAAGCAGTTTTTTTCATTCATTCATTCATTCATTCATTCATTCATTCAATTCATTCATTCATTTACTTACTTTCCAGTCTATCCTGCAGTGGGGGATTTTGGCCATTTCCCATCTAAGTACTAAACA